CTCACTCACTCACTCACTCACTCACCTTCTCACACACACACACACACACTCACTCACTCACTCACTCACACACAGACACACAGACACACACACCTGATAGCTAAAGTGAAAGACAATCCAAACCTACAGAGATTGATTAATTGATTTAATGACTTAAGGAACCTAAAACCATAAAAATAGTTAATTGAAATAAAATAAACTGAAATAAAATATAAATATAAAAAACATATTTTATTTCAGCTAGTTGCCAAAGCAACATTTCTCATTTTCATTTAGTTTAAGTTGAAGTACTAAAATAACTAAAACTAAAGAAATTAATAAATACTATATAGATTTAAAAAAAAACATATAAAAATGGCAGAAACACAAACCAGAAATACATAACCTTAAAGTAAATTGTGAAAGTGAAAAAAATAAGTGTAAACTGAAATAAAATGAAATATAAAAATGATAATGAAAATGAAAGAAGTCACCTTGCCTAGCTGAAATAGGTTTAAGGACTAAAATAACTAAAACTATATAAATAAAAATGAAAAACTATATAGATATTTAAAAAACTAATAAAATGACTAAAATACAAAACAGAATTACTAAAGCTTTAAGTAAATTAAAGTTAAAAAATAAACTTAATAAATATAAAACAAACTAAATGAAAATGAAAAATGTTGCCTTGCCATCCAACAGAAGTAAAATAATTACTAAACTAAATAAATAAAACTAAATACTATATAGACATTTACAAAAATAAAAATGACAAAAACACAAAAATTAAGTAAACTTTAAGTAAATATTAAAGTGAAAACAGAATAAAATGTAAACAATATGCATAAAAATAACATGTATATTAATATATATCCATATGAACAATCTTATAATATATATCCATATGAACACAGATTTTATTTAGCAAGCGGTCAGTTTAAGTTAAACATGCAATCAAAATAGACTCTATTTACATTCTTAATGCATATTCCTGCTCTTATTATGCACTTTTCATTGGTGCTTGCTTGTTAATTTATCTGTATTTCTAAAAGATATTGAGAATTATCTCATTCCTTTATCTGTTGAGTGAAACTCTGTTATAAATGCTATATTCTACGCATAGTAAATGTGATAACTCAAGTTACAGTGAAATATATGTAAGTGTCACACAAAACCGTACCAGATATAGTCCAGAATATGAACTTACCTTCTGACTTACTCAAACAAGTCATCTAACAATGCATTAACATTGTGTGAGCGTGTTTGTGTAGCACAAGTCATTGTTTTGACTGGATGTTTTAGAATTGAAGAGAATTGTGGGTAGATTAGTTGTAAAAATAATGATGATGGAAGGACTTCTGGGGAAAGTAGTTCACAAATGTTTAATTATAGGTTCAGAGCATTTTGTAAGAGGTTAAATTTTTTTTATGTTCTACAGTCTATAAAGTTACTTTTTGTAGTGGCAGAAAATTCAATTCATTGTGTTGTCAATTGTTGTGTTTGTGTACTGTAAATTGTAGGTTGTGTAGTCATTGCACTGCTGTGGGCATTGTTTGCTATTGTAGTTGTTGTATATGTAGTCTTCCAGGTGTGCACTGGTACTTTGTGAGTAGTGCAGTCTGATTTTGTGCACTGGTGCATTGTGGGTAATGTAGTTTTCTCTCTGTGGAGTCTGTGCAGTGCACTGTCAGCGGTTCCTCATGTCGCGGGTCGGCGAGGACTGGATCTTCCTCATCTTGCTGGGACTCGTCATGGCTCTGGTCAGCTTTGTTATGGATTTCTGCATCGCCCTTCTCCTACAAGGTGAGTGTGTGTGTGTGTGTGTGTGTGTGTGTAAGAGGTAAAGATGTCAGATGGAATTGTTGTATGATTTTTGGCTGCATATGGTTTTTGAGTTGTTATATGGTTCTTTTGGAGGTTCTTTAGGTCAGTGTTTTGGTTTCAGAGTTCCCTAAAGAACCAAGACAGATGGTTTTCTAAAGAACTGATTAAAGATGGTTTTAGTTACTCCATAAAAGCAGTCAAATTAAACACCTATATCAGAGGTATAAGTACCTTAGGATAGTTATGTGGTACAGTTAGTTTTATTTTGGCAAATTTGCAACATAATTGCTGTTAAAAATGATTGATTGCATTTTTTGCGATTTGATTTCTAAGCCAAAAATCAAACATTTTGTTCTTTAATACTTACTTTTACCTCAATAAATTTGTTTTAATTGTAACTGTGGCTGAAGATGGACAAACTTGATGATCAGTCTGCTCAGTATTGAGAAAACTGTGATTAAACAAGTTGCTTTACAATGCTTGTGAATCAAAGTTATTTTTAATAAAAATAAAATATTTTTTTATTCTGCAGTTACATTTTGTAGTGGCATAAAAGTGTAATTATGGCGTTTTGTCATTGTGCACATTGATGTTTCCTTTCTGATCTGTCCAGATTTTTTATTTTTTTTGTATAGTCAGAATATTTTTAAACCTCAAACTAAGATCAGTACTAGGTTTGAAAAAACTTTGAACATTTCTAAGTTTGGAAAAAAAAGTTTGAACATTTCTAAGTTTGGAAAAAACTTTGAACATTTCTATTTTTGAAAAAAAAAAAAAAAACTTGAATATTCCTAAGTTTGGAAAAAGCTTTGACTTGAACAGTTATAAATTTGGAAAAAACTTTTAATATTTTTGTTTAAAAAAAACTTAACATTTCTAAGTTTGAAAAAAAAGTTTGAACATTTCTAAGTTTGGAAAAACTGAACATTTCTATTTTAGAAAAAAAAAATCAACATTTCTATTTTTGGAAAAAAAACTGAACATTTCTATTTTGGAAAAAAAAGTTTGAATATTTCTGTTTTTGAAAAAAACGTTGAATATTTCTAAGTTTTGGTAAAAAAAAACTTAGATTTGAACAGTTCTAAATTTGGAAAAAACTTTTAACATTTCTGTTTAAAAAAACTTAACATTTCTAAGTTTGAAAAAAAAACTGAACTTTTCTAAGATGTTCAAAGTTTTTCAAACTTAGAAATAAATGTTCAATGTTCTTGAAACTTAGAAATGTTCAAAGTTAGAATATTGGAAAAAAAATGTTTAGACAAGCAGTTTTTGTGCTTTAAAGGTACTTTTAATAAGAAAGTCTTATTGTCTTTTAAATTTATCAGTCAATTTCAGAAGCATAGAAATAAATGTATTTAAGTACAATTTAAATATGCTAACTTGTACTTCTACTAAGGTATGTTTTTGTCTAGATTCTTTGTAATTTATCTAAGTTAAATGTTATAGTTCATATGCCCTGTAATTGTCCTGTGTGTTGTTCTCTCTACAGCACAGAAGTGGATGTACGGTGGTTTGGACAGTAACGTAATCCTGCAGTATTTAGCTTGGGTCACTTATCCTGTGGTTCTCATCAGTTTCTCTGCAGGCTTCACACACATAGTAGCGCCTCAGGCAGCGGGTGAGACACGCTAACATTCACACGCTCATGAAAGATTTCTGCTCTTCTTCATAACTCAGCAGTGCACTCCTGCATTTATCTCTCGTTCAGGGTCTGGTATTCCTGAAATGAAGACGATTCTCAGAGGAGTGGTGCTGAAGGAATATCTCACGTTAAAAACGTTTGTGGCCAAAGTCGTCGGACTGACCTGCGCACTGGGCAGTGGTTTGCCTCTGGGCAAGGAGGTGAACACACTCAGAATATGTTTTTAGTTTTGAGATCTAATTGACCTGCTTTCCTTTCCTCCATCAAAACTCTTTCACATGAGTCAATGTTGTGTTGGGTGTCATGCACTCATTATTTCTGAGGGGGCTCGTCATGCTTGTCATGTGACACACAGCAGCCACGATAGCACTTATAACTTATATGTGACCTTGGACCACAAAACCAGTCATAAGGGTCAGATTTATACATCTGAAAGCTGAATAGATAATATTTCCATTGATGTATGGTTTGTTAGGATAGGACAATATTTGGCCGAGATACAACTATTTGAAAATCTGGAATCTGAGGGTGCAAAAAATCTAAATATTGAGAAAATCATCTTTAAAGTTGTTCAAATGAAGTTCTTAGCAATGCATATTACTATTCAAAAATTAAGTTTTGATATATTTACGGTAGGAAATTTACAAAATGTCTTCATGGAACATGATCTTTACTTAATATCCTAATGATTTTTGGCATAAAAGAAAAATGGATCATTTTGACCCATATGGTTGTATATTGTTAATATATAACATGTATTGTTGGCTATTGCTACAAATATACCCCAGCGACTTAAGACTGCTTTTGTGCTCCAGGGTCATATATAGGCTTATGTTTGATCTATTTTTCCTTTTTATTCGAAATATTCCAAAATGTGTTAACTATATCATAAAATATCTCGATTCTCAAATATGTGTAAGTAAATGCATTTTGCACCTTTATAGATTATGTTAGTTAATGGGCGATGGGCAAAGTCGCCTAATTTTAGTCTAATATATAAACTACGCATAAAAACCGTCTTTTTACTTAAGTACCAGATATGGGTGTCATGCCATAATATATTTTTAATACGACTGACTTTGTATTTAATGTGAATTTTATAAAAACATT